AACACCTTTAATCTGGCCCTGGGCTGATTTTCTACTCAAATATTTGAATGATATTTTCTATTAAAATGTTGTTAATTTTGTGTGGTGTTTATCACAGCAGCGTCTCCAGCGTCTCTGTACGTGGCCCCTCCCACCAGAGCAGCACAAAATGAAGACTTGTCTCTTTCCAAACGCTCTTAAAGGACGATCGTTTTGACTGTTGACCGTGACACCCTCATCAGAAAAATGTCCAACATGAGAAAAGTGGAGCCGAGTGCAGGATTTTACAACAAAAATGGACTTATTCTGTTTACAGACAAGTTCATGTTCAAACTTTGTGTTGAAATTGTATTTTTCTTCAAGTTTCAGGTTGTTCATAATATTATAATATTTTGTAAAAGAAAGAGTTCATCAATCAATTCAAAAGATTTGTGTAATAGATTTGTGTTTTTCTGCACAAATATTTGAACTTGTTGTTATTTTTGGGGTTTATATGACATGAGTTTTCTGATCCAGACACTTTGGATCAAAGTCGGTTGGACTCGACCCCCGGAACAACATGAGTTTGACTCTCCTGGTCCAGAACAACCAAATACACAACAAAACCTGCCCATGTTCCTGCGCCGCTGCTGAAGTCAGTGACATAGTGACACAGTGTGTGTCCGGTGTCATGGCGGCGTAGGTACCGTTGTCATGGCGACACGTGACGGTGCAAAGCCTCTGTTTGTTTGTCATAATGATGTGAATCGTGGGTAAAGAGTTTTTTCTGCACTCGGACGCTCGTGGAGTCTTTTATTTTTGAGGCGTTTTAAAAAGTGGAACAAGATGCACAAAGTGCAACTCTTCACAAACGTTTGGACCTTAGAAGAACATTTAATGTTCTAATGTTCTAATGTTCTAATGTTCTAATGTTTCCTCCTTAAACTCAGAGCTCCACTTGTGTTTGTTTCTTTATTCTGAGTCACTCTGTTCCACCTCGTGATGTCATGAAGCTCCTTTTACCCTTTTGTTCAGATCAGTGTAATGAAAACAGATTAAAGTCCATTTAACACAACTGCAGAAGTGTTTGAGAGTTAAATGTGAGTTGGAGTTGAGGTGATTTGTCAGAGTTGATTTGGTTGAAGTTAATTCAACTTCTCTTAGTGTTAATTTGTCTCCAACACTTCAAACTCCCTCCAGAGAAGAACCAGTTTGAACCAGTTTTGTTCTGAATTTCATCTTAAATTAACTCAAATAAAGTGTCAAAATAAAACTCCTCTGTGTGTGTTGAGTTAAATGAGGATAACTCTACAAAGTGTTATCTGTTTACTCTCTAAACCTTCATTTAACTCTGGGTTTGGGTTAAACAGGAACTTTGGTCCAGTTTTATTCATGAACTTTTACACAAATGTTAAATTAACTCTAGAACAGAGTGACTCAGAGAAACTCTGAGGAAATGTTCAAACTGACTCTGTGTGAGTTCATTTTAACACTTCACTTTTTACTCTGTGCGTCGTGTTTGAGTGAAGTCGTCGTCGTCTCGTCCGTTTCGTGAAAACACCAGACGCGACTCGACTCGTCACCGTGAGCTTCAGCCTTTTTTAATTTAAGACAAATTTCAATGACATTAAGAACAAGCAAAAATGTACAACACGTTAGCGATGAGCTCCTCCCGGAACCGCCTCCCGGAACCGCCTCCCGGAACCGCCTCCCGGAACCGCCTCCCGGAACCGCCTCCCGGAACCGCCTCCCGGAACCGCCTCCCGGAACCGCCTCCCGGAACCGCCTCCCGAACCGAACCGCCTCCCGGAACCGCCTCCCGGAACCGCCTCCCGAACCGCCTCCCGGAACCGCCTCCCGGAAACCGCCTCCCGGAACCGCCTCCGGAACCGCCTCCCGGAACCGCCTCCCGGAACCGCCTCCGGAACCGCCTCCCGGAACCGCCTCCCGGAACCGCCTCCCGGAACCGCCTCCCGGAACCGCCTCCCGGAACCGCCTCGAGGAACCGCCTCCCGGAACCGCCTCGAGGAACCGTCTGTGGGGCTTAAATAGTGTTTGGTCGAAGCCGAGTCGGTTGTGTTTTCATGTTGGCTCCTCGTTCACAGTTACAGAAATCCTCTCATCGTCTCTTTAAAGACTCATTTCTGCTCCTCTGTCGTTCCGAGCGTAAAAAAAACAAAACATTACCGTATTTATTTTTCCAAACGTTTTTAAATGTCAGAGCCGTGTTCTGTTAAACCACCACCAGAGGGCGACAACACACAGAATAAAGAAACACAAAGGGAGCAGCGGCAGGTTTTAGACGCGTCTGTGGGAAAAAGGCGAGAAAACGAAGCAGGAGAAACGTTCGACTGTGACTTTTTAAAACTTAAAGGGCAAATTTTACGTCATTAAAAAAAAAATCTCTGTTCTAACATCGTTTCGTCGTCGCACGAACCCGGAGTCGTGTTTTGTTTCATTCACACGTTTATTCACCAGAATCAGAATCAGGACCTGGATTAAACCAAGTCAAAACCAGATCTAAACCGGGTCTAAACCAGGTCTAAACCAGGTCTAAACCAAGATCTAATCCAGTCTAAACCAGGTCTAAACCAGATCTAATCCAGGTCTAAACCAGGTCTAAACCAGGTCTAAACCAGGTCTAAACCAGGTCTAACCGAGGTCCTTCAGTGACACCGAAACCGTCCTGTCTGGATTCAGAACAAATCCGTGTCGTTCGTTCATTAGTTTTTCAATATAAAACCAAAAATAAGAAAATGAAAAAAAACAACTGTTTTCTTTGTTATTTTTCTCCAAAACCAAAATGAAAAAAAAAAACAGTAAAAGATTTGTTTTTTCAGTTTTCAATTTTGTGTTTAAATGAAAAATGGAAAAAAAAACAGATAACGACCGTTCCCCGTTTATATGACTTCAGTGACTGAGATGTCGACTGAACCAGGACTGATCCAGGTCCAGGACCAGACCAGGACCAGACCGAGACTGAGACCAGACTAGGACCAGACTAGAGGCTCAGAGTCCAAGGCAGGGCTGGAGCTCGAAGCTGAGGCTCAAAGCTCGGAGTCCAGTCTGGTCCCGCCCTGGTCCCACTCTGGTCCTGGTCTGGTCCTGGTCTGGTCCTGGTCTCAGTCCTGGTTCAGTCGACATCTCAGTCACTGAAGTCATGTAAACGGGAAACGTTCGTTATCTGTTTTTTTTTCCATTTTTCATTTAAACACAAAATTGAAAACTGAAAAAACAAATCTTTACCTGTTTTTTTTTTTTTTCATTTTGGTTTTGGAGAAAAATAATGAAGAAAATATTTGTTGTTTCGTTTTCTTATTTTTGGTTTTATTTTGAAAAACGAATGAACGAACGACACACAGATTCAGCCATTTCCTGTTTACATGAAACTGAGATAACAGACTGAACCAGGACTAAACCGTTTTCAGTCCTGGTCTAAGTCCTGATCTCAGTCTTGGTCTGGTTCCGGTCTCGGACCTGGTTCAGTCCATTATCTGTTTTTCCCATTTTTCATTTAAACACAAAATCGAAAACTGACAAAAAGGAATCATTTTCAGTTTTTTTTTTTCATTTTGGTTTTGGAGACAAATAATGAAGAAAATATTTGTTTTTTCGTTTTCTTATTCTTAGTTTTATTTTGAAAAATGAATAAACGAATGAAACACGGATTCAGAAAAGCCCGAATAATTCTAACTGGAGGAATTCTAACAGGAAACGTCGGCTCCTCTCATTTTATTAAATACAAAAGTGACACTTATATGTTTTTTTTTCGTTTTCATTACACATTTTTCGGCTGCTGCGACTTAAACTCCGGAGCCTCTTATAGTTCAAAAACTAGGGTAAAATAAGCCCTTTAAGTTCTCACTACGACACTGTGTTCACTCCTGCCCCCTGGTGGTCGGTTCAGGTTCTGCTCCGTTCCTCAGATTCGACAAACTCGACCTGAGACAGAAGCACGAGAGGACGAACGCGGAGCATAAATGAGCCTTTTGTGTGAAGTGGAGCGTCGTGTAAAACCCGGGGGGAACAGCAGGGGGCGAGAGCGAGGGGGGGGGTGTTAGAAGCCGCGCACAAACACCCCGACAAAGTGCTGGAAAAAAAAAAAACGGTTTTGTTTTTGGTTGCGCTAACTACAGTAGAAAGGCGTCCGTCCTCTGTCCGTCTTATGTACATGAGTCGAGTCCCTCCGGCCCCGCGGCGCCCGTGTGCTCGTCCCGCCGTCGGCCCCCGTCCCTTTGCGGCGGCGGCGGTGGTGGCGGCGAGGGGGCGGGGCCTGTTAGTCGGCGTTGCAGTGGTAGACGGCGGCGAGGGGGGCGGGGCCATCATGTCTCCGGGAGCTGGTTGATGTCCGTCAGGTTGGTGTCGTTGAGGATGACTTTGATTCGGTCCAAAGACTCGGCCTGTCGTATTCTCTCCAACTGGACCTGAGCGCAAACGGAAGCAGGTCAAACGGAAGCAGGTCAAACGGAAGCAGGTCAAACGGAAGCAGGTCAAACGGAAGCAGGACAAACGGAAGCAAGTCAAATGGAAGCAGGTCAAACGGAAGCAGGACAAACGGAAGCAGGACAAACGGAAGCAGGACAAACGGAAGCAGGACAAGCAGGACAAACGGAAGCAGGTCAAACGGAAGCAGGACAAACGGAAGCAGGACAAACGGAAGCAGGACAAACGGAAGCAGGACAAACGGAGCCGCTGTTGGGGCTTGAGTTGTGTTTGTGTCGTTGTGTTGTTTCAGGGACTGTTGTTGTGTTGTTGTGTTGTTGTGTGTCGTTGTGTTGTTTCAGGGATTTGTTGTTGTGTTGTTGTGTTGTTGTGTTGTTGTGTTTGTGTCGTTGTCGTACCTGCAGCGTCTGAGAGACTTTGATGAGTTTTCTGGACCTGCTCGCTCACCTGTTGGAGGCTGCGTTGTGTTGTGTTGTTGTTTCAGTGTTTGTTGTGTTGTGTTGTTACGTTGGGGGTTGTGTTGTGTTGTTTTAGCGACTGTTGTGTTGCGTTGTTGTATTTCAGTGGTTGTCATATCTGCAGTCTCTGAGAGTTTGACGAAGTCCTTCTAGACCTGCTCACTCACGTTGGGGGTTGTGTTGTGTTGTTGTGTTGTTTCAGTTAGTTGAGTTGTGTTGTTGTGCTGGGGGTTGTGTTGGGCTTGTGTTGGTTGTATTGCTTTAGCGACTCTTGTGTTGCGTTGTGTTGTTTCAGTGGTTGTCGTACCTGCAGCGTCTGAGAGAGTTTGACGAAGTCCTTCTGGACCTGCTCGCTCACGTCCAGCTCCGTCTGGAGCCTCTGGGCTTTGGCCTTTTCCTCCGACACCTGAGTCTCCAGCGCCGCCTGCGGACACAACACACACACACACACACACACACACGGCTCTGGACACGCTGCATCACTAAATCCTGTGTGTGTGTGTGTCTGTGTCCAGTGTGTGTGTGTATGTGTGTGTCCAGTGTGTGTACAGACCTTGGTGGAGGTGAGCTCAGAGATCTGTTGTTCCAGGTTGTTCTTCAGGTTCTGCAGAGTCTCCAGAGCCTCAGTCCTCTCAGTCACACTGTTCTGTAACTACACACACATAAACACACACACGTTAAAAACACACACGTTAAAAACACACACACAAACACACACATAAACACACACATAAACACATGAGTATCTATTGTCACTTCTAGGACACGTTTTCAGTTTTTCTCTTACACTTGTTGAGTCTCCACATGGGCTCAGTTCCAGACCTTGTGGAAAACTGTTTAATTCTACATATATATATTTTTTTTACTGACGACAACAACAGAATTAAGAGTTACACTTTTAAATCTGTTCCAGTTCTGTTCGGCTTTTTTCTTCATTCGTTTCTGTTTGTCCAGTTTCTGAGAAAAGAAAACTCAGTCTCATGTCTGAGTGACACACTGAGCTTTTCCTCTGACTTTTTTGCGTCTGTGACTTTCCTTTAAATGACACGGGACAAAATGATTTACATTTTCATTCATTCACTTCATAATAAAAAAAAAAAAACAGGCTTTGGTTAGATTTGTTTTAAGTCACTAACTTTGTTTAAGTCAGAATCAATGTTTTTAATGCACAAAAACCTTAAAATATGATTCATAATCATCTCTAATTTCACAATTTCAGAATCAGTTGTAAAAAACACCAGTCAGTTTAATCAGGGTGTAACAAAAAATAAAAAATATCATGATATTGTTTCGTCAAAAGTCTCAAAATAATATTGTGGGGCGTCAGTGTTTCGAATCACAAGTTTCTTTGCTTAAATTCATGGTTTTATAGAAGCAACAGTTTAAAAACATCTGGAACTACATTTCCCATGATTCATTTCAGCACAAACAACATGAAGAAATATGTTTTTGACTTGAATTCTTGGGATTATGACAGAAATAATTCCCACCAAAACCTTGTCAGAGTATTTTAAAAGCAGAAACGTGAGGACATCGTTACGTCTCTACCAGGTAATAAAATGTTTCTGATTCATCGTCGTCGTGGTTCTGATTCAGTTCTGGAGCGTCACTGTGACTCACCTGCTCCTTCTCGGCCTTGACTCGCTCCAGCTCCGACTTTATGCTCGAGAACGAAGCTGAAAGGAGAAGAAGAAGAAAAAGAAGAAGAAGAAGAAGAAGAAGAAGAAGAAGAAGAAGAGGTCAGTTTATCCGAAACGACACAAACACAGAAACACCACGTGCGCTCGGTTAGTGTTAACGACACAAACACAAACCACATGCCGCCAATTAAGAACACACACAGAAATCTAACAGAGTGAGAGTCGTGTGTGTGTGTGTGTGTGTGTGTGTGTGTGTGTGTGTGTGTGTGTGTGTGTGTGTCTGTGCTCCTTGTGTTCCTTGATTGAGTAAATTGTATTGTGCAGTTATTAGTATTTATGAACATTTTTACCAAAGAAATGTGCACATTAAGACTTAGGGAACAGACTTGTTCTGTATTTATGGGGTTCAAGTTCAAGGTTCGTTCGAGGTTCGTTTCGAGGTTCGGTTCATGGTTCGGTTCATGGTTCGGTTCAGGTTCAAGGTTCGGTTCAAGGTTCGGTTCATGGTTCGGTTCATGGTTCGGTTCATGGTTCGGTTCATGGTTCGGTTCATGGTTCGGTTCAAGGTTCAGGTTCGGTGTTCAGTTCATGAGGATTCAGTTCGGGGTTCAGTTTGAGGATCAGTTCATGGTTCAGTTCAGTGTTCGGTTCGTTGTTCAGTTGTCAGTGTTCAGTTTGTTGTTCAGTTCAAGGTTCGGTTCAAGGTTCAGTTCATGGTTCGTTTCATGGTTCGGTTCAAGGTTCGGTTCAAGGTTCGTTTCAAGGTTCGTTTCAAGGTTCGGTTCGGTTCAAGGTTCGTTTCGAGGTTCGGTTCGAGGTTCGGTTCGAGTTTCAGGTTCGGTTCGAGTTCGGTTCGGTTCAGGTTCGGTTCAGGTTCGGTTCAGTTCGTTCGAGGTTCGGTTCAGTTCGGTTCAGGTTCGGTTCAAGGTTCGGTTCATGGTTCGGTTCATGGTTCGGTTCATGGTTCGGTTCAGGTTCGGTTCAGGTTCGGTTCATGGTTCGGTTCAGGTTCGGTTCAGGTTCGTTCAGGTTCGTTCGGTTCAGGTTCGTTCAGGTTCGGTTCAAGGTTCGGTTTTCAAGGTTCGGTTCAAGGTTCGTTCAAGGTTCGTTTCAAGGTTCGGTTCGGTTCAAGGTTCGGTTCATGGTTCGGTTCAAGGTTCAGTTCAAGGTTCGGTTCAAGGTTCGGTTCAAGGTTCGGTTCAAGGTTCGGTTCAAGGTTCGGTTCAAGGTTCGGTTCATGGTTCGGTTCAAGGTTCGGTTCAAGGTTCGGTTCAAGGTTCGGTTCAAGGTTCGGTTCAAGGTTCAAGGTTCGGTTCAGTTCGGTTCAGGTTCAGTTCAAGGTTCAGTTCAAGGTTCAGTTCAAGGTTCAGTTCAAGGTTCAGTTCAAGGTTCAGTTCAAGGTTCAGTTCAAGGTTCAGTGTTAGGTTCAAGGTTCAGTTCAAGGTTCAGTTCAAGGTTCAGTCTGCTGTACAAATCTTTGTTTATAATAATGTTGGTACAATTTATTTATTACCCTTCTTAAATAATTTATTAACTTTCATGTTTTGGTGCATTTGTTTTAGAAATAAAATCAATTACTCTGATTAATTCTGAATTCTTGTTCCTGAAGCTCAAGTTTTACATAAAAACACAACAACAATGTATTTCTCACTTATAACAAAACCAGCAAATATTATTTTAACATAAACTTACAAAGTTACATCAAAAGTGTTTCATTTTTTCGTTTTCCGTGTCGGTGTCATAAAGTCTGTTTGTATTTGTAACTTTACTAAAACACAAATGAAGCCGTTTGTTCTGTGGTCGTATTTCCAGGAGCTCAAACTCAAACCCAAACTCTCTGTGACTCAAAAATCTAAAACTCTTTTTTTTTTTTATCAGAACCAGCGTCGTGTCTGAATGTCTCCCCCAGCTCCTCAGCCCCTCACGGACGTAGACGAAGACAAACATTCTGTGTTGGCGACGATTCCCCAGATCCTCGAGGATTTAAAGTCTGAACAAAGAGAATGTTTGGTGAATTTGATCTTGGGGAAAGTTGTTCTTGTTCTTCTTCCTTCAGGATTTGGAGCTTTACAAACGTCACGACCAAACAGCAGCGACTGGTTCAATAAAAAAAGTCCCGTCTCCTGTCGAGTGAACGAATCCTAATGCTGCAGGTCACACGGTTTCCACCAAGTAGGGATGGGCAGGATTAGTCGATTAATCGATAATTGATCATTAAGAATTTCATGGATTCCGTTGATTTTAATGGACAAACTGAATGTATGTGTGTGTGTCGTGACCAAACAGGTGTGTACATGTGTCTCTGCATCAGAAGGAGCGAGACACAAACAGTGGGTCAGTCTGTAACGAACCGAAGCACAAATGTGGATTTAACCAGGATTTGTAGAAGAAATTCCACACTTTCCGTTGCGTTGGGACAAGTGTGAGTCCATGTGCACAGTGGATAAAGCAGCACATATGTTTCTGTGTCCAGTGGGAAAAAGTTTTTCCAGGTGAGAGTCGCTCAATGTGGATGACGAGGCCCCGCCCCCCTCCCCCCGTACGCTGTCCTGGTTTTGACAAACACAAATCTGGTCACACTGACCTGTATTCACCTGAGTCATGTCTTTTAATCCAACACAAGTTGAACCACATCAGCGACACAAGAGCTGGAGTTTTATCTTCACTTAGTTTATGTAAATTAGTGATGTGGTTTTAAGTTTTGTTTCTGTGAGATTTGAACAAAACTGAATTAAACACATTATAATGTCAAACAGCTGATGTGGATCTAGAGTCGTTATGTTTATATGTCGTAAAGTTGAATTTATTGATGCAGATTAGTGCAGATAGTAATAATAATGATGATCATTTTAATATAAAAACGTTCATGATTAATCGATAATCGATCGTTAATTCTTCCGACGATCGATAAAGAACATTTCATCAAATGCCCGTCACTAACACCAAGTGAAACCGACGCATGAATCAGATTGTGGGGTGAACAATGAGAAACAGAAAATATTGTGGAGCCAAAATGCTGAACTCAAATGTGCAGAAGATGAATTGTTTCTTTATAAAAATCAGTAAAACTCGTTGTGACGCTGCTCAGACTGAAGAGTTTCTGTTCTTATGTTCAGAAAAAAAAAAAAAAAAAACACGTCTAAAATAAAAATAACACAGGTTTCGTCCTGGAATGAGGTCAAATGATAAAATATGTTTATTGTGTGATTTTAAATTAGCTTAAACGAGTCAAACAAAGAGACAAATGTGGCTCACTACAGTCAGGTCATGTGACTGTGGGGTCTGGGTGCACTACACTCAGGTCATGTGACTGTGGGGTCTGGGTGGACAGTCGGGTCATGTGACTGTGGGGTCTGGGTGCACGACACTCAGGTCATGTGACTGTGGGGTCTGGAGGACAGTCGGGTCATGTGACTGTGGGGTCTGGGTGGACAGTCGGGTCATGTGACTGTGGGGTCTGGGTGGACAGTCGGGTCATGGGTGACTGTGGGGTCTGGACAGTCGGGTCATGTGACTGTGGGTCTGGGTGGACAGTCAGGTCATGTGGTGTGACTGTGGACTGTGGGGTCTGGGTGGACAGTCAGGTCATGTGACTGTGGGGTCTGGGTGGACACTCAGGTCATGTGACTGTGGGGTCTGGGTGCACGACACTCAGGTCATGTGACTGTGGGGTCTGGGTGGACTCAGGTGTGACATGTGACTGTGGGGTCTGGGTGGACACTCAGGTCATGTGACTGTGGGTCTGGGTGGACTCAGGTCATGTGACTGTGGGGTCTGGGTGGACAGTCGGGTCATGTGACTGTGGGGTCTGGGTGCACTACACTCAGGTCATGTGACTGTGGGGTCTGGGTGCACTACACTCAGGTCATGTGACTGTGGGGTCTGGTGGACAGTCATGTGACTGTGGGGTCTGGGTGGACTCAGGTCATGTGACTGTGGGGTCTGGGTCACTCAGTGACTGTGGGTCTGGATGTGACTGTGGGGTCTGGGTGGACAGTCGGGTCATGTGACTGTGGGGTCTGGGTGGACAGTCGGGTCATGTGACTGTGGGGTCTGGGTGCACACTCGGGTCATGTGACTGTGGGGTCTGGGTGGACACTCAGGTCATGTGACTGTGGGGTCTGGGTGCATCTACACTCAGGTCATGTGACTTCAGGCTTTGGTCTGACATGTGGAGATGTTCCTTCAGCAGCTCCAGTTAAAACAGTTGAATCGTGTTTAAAAGTGATTTATTCATCATCAGCAGAGTTTCACATCTGCTTCATTCCAGTTTAACCCCGTTTCTCTCGTAGTTTTTCGTCTCTTTGTGACTCGTGTCGACTCGTGTGTTCGTGTGGACCTGGTTCTGCGAGGTCCTGACGCTCAGACACTAAACTCCACCTTTCATTCACCTTCTAACTCCTTCTGTTCGTCTCTGCACCTAAAGCGTCTCTGAATATTTTTGAAACGTTCCATTTTATTATGAAATCGTGTGAAGCCAAACAGCGCCTCCTGTAGGACAGAGGGGGTTAGTGTCTGACACAAACTGGAGCGAACCTCGTAAGACGTCTGAGTGAAAGAAGAAGAAGGACGGAGAAACATCAGAACAGGAGACAAAAACAAACAAAAACAGAAAAAAACTGAGGCTCGTGTGGATCAAGTGTGGCTCAAAAGTTTTCTCCCAGACGCAGGTTTGTTTAGTCTTTTTTACACACAGAGACGTCATCCCATTATCTTTTTTCATATTTATGTTCTGAACTGTGGACTTCACTCCCTCTGGACTGAAGTGCAACCACACAGAAACTCAAGTCCTGGTGAAAAACCAACAAACCTCGTTCCCTCCTGAAGATTCTGTAGTGTTTGTTTGTGTACGTCTGAAACTGTGCTGTTCTAAATGTGTTTGAAAGAATGTTTGGGGTACGACACTAAAAAAAGAACACAAAACAACTTCATGTACTTTGCTTTACTGTTTGTGTCTTGGTTGTAGTATTGTAGTAGCGGTGACTATATAGTAATATGTAGTAATATGTAGTAATTACTAGTTAATAAGACGCAGTGTAGTAATTATGGACTCGTGATCCAGAAGATAAGGTGCGGCTCAGGGAGACAGAGACTGAGTTAGATCTGTGGAACCATTAAGACAAACAAAGACAAAAGACAATATATAACTGATTGCTGCAATGGCCAAACTTCACAATAATCTAGTGAGGTCAGTGTTGAGAGTCTCAAAAACAGACTGATCCAACTGCACAGTTCCAAAAAAGTCACAGTTTGCCTGCACAGTTGGAGATATGGACCATAGACCAGTGTGGGAGTTCAGGGGGTAAGTGCTGGTGAGGAGCGGCGGTGAACGGTGATTATTGGGTTTGGTCGTAGAACCAGTGCGTGAAGGTGTGAGGTTTAACGCTGCTACAAGAGCCTCCAGCCCGGACAGAGGAGAGGAGGTGTCGGGTCCTGGCAGGAGTGACTTGAGTGTCACGGGTTGTGGATCAGAACCTGGGTTTATAGTTCGTCATCTGAACCTGGCCAATTCCGTGTGATCGTCACTGTACAGTTCGTCCACTCAACGGGCAACGGGATTTGGCTCCTGTAGCTCGTGTTTGTTTCTCTCTCGCGTCTGCCGCGCTTCCGGGTTCACGCTAATATAAGCTCCTAATTGGGCGGCCGCGGTCACGTGATCGGACGCACGCAAAAAGACGCAACAGAGAGCGGGAGCGAGACGAGAGAGTTTGTTGCTAAGGCGGTTTTTGTCACCCGCATGTTTCCTTTTGTTGTATTTATGAATGAACTGGTTTCAAGACGACCTCCTGACAGAGGAACAAAGGGAAGATCTAATGAGCTTCAGAATCTGTGTGTCGTTCGTTCATTCGTTTTTCAATATAAAACCAAAAATAAGAAAACGAAAAAACAACAACTTAACTTCGTTATTTGTCTCCAAAACCAAAATGAAAAAACAGATAACGATTCGTTTTTTCAGTTTTCGATTTTGTGTTTAAATGAAGAATGGAAAAAAAGGAGAACGACCGTTTCCTGTTTACGTGACTGAACCAGGACTGATCCAGGTCCGAGACCAGACCAGACCGAGACCACCAGACCAGGAGACCAGACCAGACCAGACCGAGACCAGACCGGAGGCTCAGAGCCCACAGCAGGGCCGGAGCTCGAAGCTGAGGCTCGGACCCCGTGGAGGCTCGGAGTCAAAGCTCTGGTCCCGGTCTGGTCCTGGTCTGGTCTCGGTCTGGTCTCGGTCTGGTCTTGGTCTGGTCTCGGTCTGGTCTCGGTCTGGTCTCGGTCTGGTCTCGGACCTGGATCAGTCCTGGTTCAGTCCGTACGCGGTGCAAAAGTTCGGCATCGCAGTCACGGAAGTCATGTAAACGGGAAACGGTCGTTATCTGTTTTTTCATTTTGGTTTTGGAGACAAATAACGAAGTTAAGTTGTTGTTTTTTTGTTTTCTTATTTTTGGTTTTATATTGAAAAACGAATGAACGAACGACACTCAGATTCTTCAGCTTCAGCCTGTAGCTTTTGTCTTTTGTCAGAACAAACCTGTGACCAAAATAAACTAAACTAATAAGATCAAATAACAATAGTTGAGTAACTGTGGTGCTCACCCATCTCCTCCTTGTAGCCCTCGATCTCCAGCTGCAGCGTGTCCTCCAGGTTGTCCTTGAGGCACTGCTCGGCCTGGATCTGCTCCTTCAGGAACAGGATCTCCGCCTTCAGCTTCTCCTCCAGATGATCCGCCGCAGCCCTGAGGGTCACCAGGTCCTCGCGGAGACACACCACCAGGTCCTGCAGGTCCTGGAGGAGCCACAGAGAAACACTCAGGAACCTCAGCGCAGCAGCGCGTCCGGAGCTGGAGAAGTAAGTCTGACAAACACACGTCTTTATCTGTTCAAACTGTGTCCGATTCTGCACATTTACAAACTGCAAATCATGAAATCTGAAGAAATGAAGCAGCAGAAAGAAAGTTTGGAGAGAAACTTGTGTCTAAACCAGGTCTAAACCAGGTCTAAACCAGGTCTAAACCAGGTCTAAACCAGGTCTAAACCAGGTCTAAACCAGGTCTAAACCAGGTCTAAACCAGGTCTAAACCAGGTCTAAACCAGGTCTAAACCAGGTCTAAACCAGGTCTAAACCAGGTCTAAACCAGGAAACCAGGTCTAAACCAGGTCTAAACCAGGTCTAAACCAGGTCTAAACCAGGTCTAAACCAGGTCTAAACCAAGGTCTAAACCAGGTCTAAACCAGGTCTAAACCAGGTCTAAACCAGGTCTAAACCAGGTCTAAACCAGGTCTAAACCAGGTCTAAACCAGGTCTAAACCAGGTCTAAACCAGGTCTAAACCAGGTCTAAACCAGGTCTAAACCAGGTCTAAACCAGGTCTAAACCAGGTCTAGGTCTAAACCAGGTCTAAACCAGGTCTAAACCAGGTCTAAACCAGGTCTAAACCAGGTCTAAACCAGGTCTAAACCAGGTCTAAACCAGGTCTAAACCAGGTCTAAACCAGGTCTAAACCAGGTCTAACCAAGGTCTAAACCAGGTCTAAACCAGGTCTAAACCAGGTCCAGGTCTAAACCAGGTCTAAACCAGGTCTAAACCAGGTCTAAACCAGGTCTAAACCAGGTCTAAACCAGGTCTAAACCAGGTCTAAACCAGGTCTAAACCAGGTCGGTCTAAACCAGGTCTAAACCAGGTCTAAACCAGGTCTAAACCAGGTCTAAACCAGGTCTAAACCAGGTCTAAACCAGGTCTAAACCAGGTCTAAACCAGGTCTAAACCAGGTCTAAACCAGGTCTAACCACCAAACACCAGGTCTAAACTAAAGGTCCAGGTCTAAACCAGGTCTAAACCCTAAACCAGGTCTAAACCAGGTCTAAACCAGGTCTAAACCAGGTCTAAACCAGGTGTAAACCAGGTCTAAACCAGGTCTAAACCAGGTCTAAACCAGGTCTAAACCAGGTCTAAACCAGGTCTAAACCAGGTCTAAACCAGGTCTAAACCAGGTCTAAACCAGGTCTAAACCAGGTCTAAACCAGGTCTAAACCAGGTCTAAACCAGGTCTAACCAGGTCTAAAGGTCTAAACCAGGTCTAAACCAGGTCTAAACCAGGTCTAAAAGGTCTAAACAGGTCTAAACCAGGTCTAAACCAGGTCTAAACCAGGTCTAAACCAGGTCTAAACTAAACAGGTCTAAACCAGGTCTAAACCAGGTCTAAAAGGTCCAGGTCTAAACCAGGTCTAAACCAGGTCTAAACCAGGTCTAAACCAGGTCTAAACCAGGTCTAACGGTCTAAACCAGGTCTAAACCAGGTCTAAACCAGGTCTAAACCAGGTCTAAACCAGGTCTAAACCAGGTCTAAACCAGGTCTCAAAACCAGGTCTAAACCAGGTCTAAACCAGGTCTAAACCAGGTCTAAACCAGGTCTAAACCAGGTCTAAACCAGTCTAAACCAGGTCTAAACCAGGACTAAACCAGGTCTACCAGGTCTAAACCAGGTCTAAACCAGGTCTAAACCAGGTCTAAACCAGGTCTAAACCAGGTCTAAACCAGGTCTAAACCAGGTCTAAACCAGGTCTAAACCAGGTCTAACCAAGGTCTAAACCAGGTCTAAACCAGGTCTAAACCAGGTCTAAACCAGGTCTAAACCAGGTCTAAACCAGGTCTAAACCAGGTCTAAACCAGGTCTAAACCAGGTCTAAACCAGGTCTAAACCAGGTCTAAACCAGGTCTAAACCAGGTCTAAACCAGGTCTAAACCCAGGTCTAAACCAGGTCTAAACCAGGTCTAAACCAGGTCTAAACCAGGTCTAAACCAGGTCTAAACCAGGTCTAAACCAGGTCTAAACCAGGTCTAAACCAGGTCTAAACCAGGTCTAAACCAGGTCTAAACCAGGTCTAAACCAGGTCTAAACCAGGTCTAAACCAGGTCTAAACCAGGTCTAAACCAGGTCTAAACCAGGTCTAAACCAGGTCTAAACCAGGTCTAAACCAGGTCTAAACCAGGTCTAAACCAGGTCTAAACCAGGTCTAAACCAGGTCTAAACCAGGTCTAAACCAGGTCTAAACCAGGTCTAAACCAGGTCTAAACCAGGTCTAACCCAGGTCTAAACCAGGTCTAAACCTGCTCTAAACTAAACAGGTCTAAACCAGGTCTAAACCAGGTCTAAACCAGGTCTAAACCAGGTCTAAACCAAACTAAACAGGTCTAAACCAGGTCTAAACCAGGTCTAAACCAGGTCTAAACCAGGTCTAAACCAGGTCTAAACCAGGTCTAAACCAAGGTCTAAACCAGGTCTAAACCAGGTCTAAACCAGGTCTAAACCAGGTCTAAACAGGTCTAAACCAGGTCTAAACCAGGTCTAAACCAGGTCTAAACCAGGTCTAAACCAGGTCTAAACCAGGTCTAAACCAGGTCTAAACTAAACCAGGTCTAAACCAAAACCAGGTCTAAACCAGGTCTAAACCAGGAGGTCTAAACCAGGTCTAAACCAGGTCTAAACCAGGTCTAAACCAGGTCTAAACCAGGTCTAAACCAGGTCTAAACCAGGTCTAAACCAGGTCTAAACCAGGTCTAAACCAGGTCTAAAACCAGGTCTAAACCAGGTCTAAACCAGGTCTAAACCAGGTCTAAACCAGGTCTAAACCAGGTCTAAACCAGGTCTAAACCAGGTCTAAACCAGGTCTAAACCAGGTCTAAACCAGGTCTAAACCAGGTCTAAACCAGGTCTAAACCAGGTCTAAACCAGGTCTAAACCAAAACCAGGTCTAAACCAGGTCTAAACCAGGTCTAAACCAAGGTCTAAACCAGGTCTAAACAGGTCTAAACCAGGTCTAAACCAGGTCTAAACCAGAAACCAGGTCTAAACCAGGTCTAAACCAGGTCTAAAGGTCTAAACCAGGTCTAAACCAGGTCTAAACTAAACCAGGTCTAAACCAGGCCAGGTCTAAACCAGGTCTAATCCAAGGTCTAAACCAGGTCTAAACCAGGTCTATCCAAGGTCTAAACCAGGTCTAAACCAGGTCTAAACCAGGTCTAAACCAGGTCTAAACCAGGTCTAAACCTCTAAACCAAGGTCTAAACCAGGTCTAAACCCAGGTCTAAACCAGGTCTAAACCAGGTCTAACCAAGGTCCAGGTCTAACCAAGGTCTAAACCAGGTCTAAACCAGGTCTAAACCAGGTCTAAACCAGGTCTAAACCAGGTCTAAACCAGGTCTAAACCAGGGGTCTAAACCAAACCAGGTCTAAAACCAGGTCTAAACCAGGTCTAAACCAGGTCTAAACCAGGTCTAAACCAGGTCTAAACCAGGGTCTAAACCAGGTCTAACCAGGCCAGGTCTAAACCAGGTCTAACCAAGCCAGGTCTAAACCAGGTCTAAACCAGGTCTAAACCAGGTCTAAACCAGGTCTAAACCGGTCTAAACCAGGTCTAAAGGTCTAAACCAGGTCTAAACCAGGTCTAAACCAGGTCTAAACCAGGTCTAAACCAGGTCTAACCAAGGTCTAAACCAGGTCTAAACCAGGTCTAAACCAGGTCTAAAACCAGGTCTAAACCAGGTCTAAACCAGGTCTAAACCAGGTCTAAACCAGGTCTAAACCAGGTCTAAACCAGGTCTAAACCAGGTCCAGGTTCAGGTGGTCTAAACCAGGTCTGAAACCAGGTCTAAACAGGTCTACCAGGTGTTGAGAAACCAGGTTCAGAAAGAATCCGTGTGTCGTTCATTTGTTTTTCAAAAAAAAAATATATATATAAATTTTTTTGTCTCTTGTGTCTATTTGTCTCCAAAACCAAAATGACAGAAAACAGATAAAGATTCATTTTTTTTTTTTCAGTTTTTGATTTTGTGTTTAAATGAAAAATGGAAAAAACAGATAAAGACTGTTTCCTGTTTCTGTGACTTAAACTGCGACGTCCAACTGAACCAGAACCAACTGTTCAGTCCGGGTCCGGTTCAGTCCTGGTTCAGTCCTGGTTCAGTCCTGGTTCAGTCCTGGTTCAGTTCTGGTTCAGACCTGGTTCAGACCTGGTTCTGGTCTGGTTCAGACCTGGTTCAGTCCTGGTTCAGACCTGGTTCAGACCTGGTTCAGTCCTGGTTCAGACCTGGTTCAGACCTGGTTCAGTCTGGTTCAGTCCTGGTTCAGTCCTGGTTCAGTCCTGGTTTCAGACCTGGTTCAGACCTGGTTCAGTCCTGGTTCAGTCTGGTTCAGTCCTGGTTCAGTCCTGGTTCAGTCCTGGTTCAGTCCTGGTTCAGACCTGGTTCAGACCTGGTTCAGTCCTGGTTCAGTCCTGGTTCAGTCCTGGTTCAGACCTGGTTCAGACCTGGTTCAGTCCTGGTTCAGACCTGGTTCAGTCCTGGTTCAGTCCTGGTTCACCTGTCTGGTCTGGTTCAGACCTGGTTCAGTCCTGGTTCAGACCTGGTTCAGACCTGGTTTCAGTCCTGGATCAGTCCTGAACAGTCCTGGTTTCAGTCCTGGTTCAGACCTGGTTCAGTCCTGGATAGTCCTGGATCAGTCCTGGATCAGTCCTGGAACAGTCCTGGTTCCGTCCTGGTTCAGTCCTGGAACAGTCCTGGTTCCGTCCTGGTTCAGTCCTGGTTCAGACCTGGTTCAGTCCTGGATCAGTCCTGGTTCATCCTGGTTCAGTCCTGGTTCAGTCCTGGTTCAGTCGTTATACATTTTTTCATTCTTCATTTAAACACAAAACTGAAAACTGAAAAAACGAATCGTTATTATAATAATAATATTTGGGTTTATTTGTTTTCTTATTTTTGTTTTTATTTTGAAAAACAAACGAATGATTCAGAAAGACCTGAATAATTGTAACTGAACAGAGTGTGAGTCTGAGGACAGCGACACAGAAGAGTTTGTGTGGCTCCGTTTCCCTCCGGACGTCGAGGTCGAGTTGTTCAGAAGTGACACGAGGATGAAGACCTGAAGTGATTTAGTGATTTGGAGGGAAACAGTTTGTTCAACTTGTTCTGTTGTTTCTGTTGTCAAATATGTGAGAGTGTGAACAGTCTGTTCTTCTCTTCTGTTGTTTTTACTACAACTTCACTTCACAAACCAAATGTCCCGTCCTCGTCTCTCACTTTATTAAACACATTCACCACAAAAACTCACACTTACACATGTTTTTTTCTTTTTCATTACACATTCTTGAGCTGGTGTGACTTATAATCTGAATAAAACAGTAATTGATTTTCTATGTAAAGTTATTTCCCTGTGGGAGTCAGGAGCCACAGACAGAAACAGTTTATAGAGATAAAGAGAAAGAGTAAAAAGTGTAAAGAAAAGACGTCAAAGGAGAAAAATCTGTCGACTGGACAAAAGTTTATTTGGTCGAAGACGTTTCGAGGTTCGTCCAAACTGCTTCTTCATTTCTGTGAAACGTTTTCGACCAAACAAACGTTTGTCCAGTCGACAAACTGATTTTCTCGTTTGCCAACTGTTCGTGATGCACAGAAAAACACTGTAAATGTGATTTTTATTCTGTATTTATTTTTAAAACATGATTGGAGTCGAGTCGTTCTGTTGGTTCTGTTTTGTAGTTTTGTCTCTTCTGGAATCAAACAAACGTTTCTAGAAGAAACTAGAACCGGACGACAGAGCAGCGACGCAGATCCGGCTTTTTCAGCTCCGATACCGATTCCGATACCACAGATCCAAGTGTCTGTCGATACCGAGTGAAAACCACAAAACCATAAAATACCAAATAACAGCCTGGTTTCAATTCAACACCGAGTCCAGCAGTCGAGTCCAGCAGCCGAGTCCAGCAGTCGAGTCTAATGCAGTCGAGTCCAGCAGTCGAGTCCAGCAGCCGAGTCCAGCAGTCGAGTCCAGCCAGCAGCCGCAGTCCAGCAGCCGAGTCTAATGCAGTCGAGTCTAATGCAGTCGAGTCCAGCAGTCGAGTCCAGCAGTCGAGTCTAATGCAGCCGAGTCCAGCAGCCGAGTCCAGCAGTCGAGTCCAGCAGTCGAGTCTAATGCAGTCGAGTCCAGCAGTCGAGTCTATCAGTCGAGTCTAATGCAGTCGAGTCCAGCAGTCGAGTCTAATGCAGTCGAGTCCAGCAGTCGAGTCCAATGCAGTCGAGTCCAGCAGTCGAGTCTATTGCAGTCGAGTCTATTGCAGTCGAGTCTAATGCAGTCGAGTCTATTGCAGTCGAGTCTAATGCAGTCGAGTCTATTGCAGTCCAGTATATTGCAGTCGAGTCTATTGCAGTCCAGTATATTGCAGTCCAGTCTATTGCAGTCCAGTCTATTGCAGTCTGGTCCAGCAGTCGAGTCCAGCAGTCGAGTCTATTGCAGTCGAGTCTAATGCAGTCGAGTCCAGCAGTCGAGTCTATTGCAGTCGAGTCTATTGCAGTCGAGTCTAATGCAGTCGAGTCTATTGCAGTCCAGTCTATTGCAGTCCAGTCTATTGCAGTCTGGTCCAGCAGTCGAGTCTATTGCAGTCGAGTCTAATGCAGTCGAGTCCAGCAGTCGAGTCCAGCAGTCGAGTCTATTGCAGTCGAGTCTATTGCAGTCGAGTCTAATTGCAGTCGAGTCTATTGGTCAGTCCAGTCCAGTCTATTGCAGTCCAGTCTATTGCAGTCCAGTCTATTGCAGTCCAGTCTATTGCAGTCCAGTCCAGTCCAGTCTTTGCAGTCGAGTCTAATGCAGTCCAGTCTATTGCAGTCCAGTCTATGCAGTCGAGTCTATTGCAGTCCAGTCTATGCAGTCCAGTTATTGCAGTCCAGTCTATGCTGTCGAGTCTATTGCAGTCCAGTCTATTGCAGTCCTAATGCAGTCCAGTCTATTGCAGTCCAGTCTATTGCAGTCCGTACTGCTGTCGAGTCTATTGCAGTCCAGTCTATTGCAGTCCAGTTCTATTGCCAGTCTATTTGGCAGTCCAGTCTATTGCAGTCGAGTCTAATTGCAGTCCAGTTCTATTGCAGTCCAGTCTATTATGTCAGTCTATTCAGTCAGCAGTCCAGTCTATTGCAGTCCAGTCTATTGCAGTCCAGTCTATTGCAGTCGAGTCTAATGCAGTCCAGTCTATTGCAGTCCAGTCTATTGCAGTCCAGTCTATTGCAGTCCAGTCTATTGCAGTCTCTTTGCAGTCCAGTCTATTGCAGTCCAGTCTATTGCAGTCCAGTCTAATGCAGTCCAGTCTAATGCAGTCCAGTCTATTGCAGTCCAGTCTATTGCAGTCGAGTCTATTGCAGTCGAGTCTAATGCAGTCCAGTCTATTGCAGTCCAGTCTATTGCAGTCCAGTCTATTGCAGTCGAGTCTAATGCAGTCCAGTCTATTGCAGTCCAGTCTATTGCAGTCCAGTCTATTGCAGTCGAGTCTATTGCAGGTCTATTGCAGTCCAGTCTATTGCAGTCTGGTCCAGCGGTTGTTGTGGGTCAAACTTCCATTTCCCGTTGTTTTTGTGTTTTTATTTAACAAAGACGTGATGATTCGTGCAGCGACACACAGAGTCTGATGTTTACAGCGACAGGAGCAGTTTGACTTCAGGTCGGTCCTGCCCGCACCAGTCTGGTCGTGTGACTCGAAGTGGACAGAGTCTATTCGGAGGAACAGACGACGTCGCTGTGAAATCCTGATTTCGAAGTGACGTGAAAAAGAAAGACGGTGAAATGGAAGCGTTTTTTAGGAGTTTTGGTAAAATGACTCGAGTTTGTGATCGTCGCTGCTGCGGCGTAAGAGGAAAATCACGGCAAAGGGACGAGGCGGAAGGAATCGAGTCCACAACGAAAAGACAAAGCAGTCGCCGGGACATCGTATAAAAACTGTAAATTATCGTCAGACTGGTTAAAAAAATTCAAGGACCAGATTTTCATGAGGAAGAAATTAATCTCCTGCCCCAATTTGCCGCCTGGTCTCAAATAAAAGCCTGGTCTGTTAAGTGACACACAAATAAACGTCTTGTATATTACTTGGTATTTTACAGTGTTTCCTCAACAAAAATAAATGAAACAAAACTGATCCAAATGTGCTGAAGCTGTAATTTATCTGCCGCTACTTTTCTGTAAATAAAAGTTCAATCATTATGAGATTTTCTGGGCCGACGACAAGCAGTAAATATAGTCTTTTTTTTTCCAGGATCGGCACCGATATTTCAAACCAGTGTCAGACAGAGCGAGAAAATCCTCCGTCCAAACCTGAGACGCTCACGAGTCTCACGTGTCTCTCAGACGCAGAAGACGTCTCCTCCAAAACTCAGAACAAAATCTAGATCTTCTTTAACCCGAGATCGTCAGAGTTTGGAGCTTCGATCGTTGATTCTGTAAAAATCTGTTCCGTTTCTTCGTCCGTTATGTTGATTTTCTCCTTTTTTATTGTGTAAACGCAACATTTCTTCATTAAAATCTTAGATCAAACCGATTTATCAAAGGAGGCAAGAAGGGTGGAGCGGGTGGAGGTGGAGGTGGGGCTCTTACACTCGTGGAGGTGGAGGAGGAGGTGGAGCTCTTACACTGACGGAGGTGGAGGTGGGGGAGGAGGTGGAGCTCACAGTGATGGAGGAGGTGGAGGTAAAGGTGGAGCGCTTACACTGATGGAGGTGGAGGTGAAGGTGGAGAAGGAGGAGGTGGAGCTTACACTGACGGAGGTGGAAGGAGGTGGGGTTCTTACACTGACGGAGGTGGAGGTGGAGGAGGTGGGGTTCTTACACTGACGGAGGTGGAGGGAGGTGGAGGTTTCTTACACTGACTGGACGGAGGTGGAGGTGGAGGAGGTGGGGTTCTTACACTGACGGAGGTGGAGGTGGAGGTGGAGGAGGTGGGGTTCTTACACTGACGGAGGTGGAGGAGGAGGTGGGGTTCTACACTGACGGAGGTGGAGTGGAGGAGGTGGGGTTCTTACACTGACGGAGGTGGAGGTGAGGAGGTGGGTTCTTACACTGACGGAGGTGGAGGTGGAGGAGGTGGGGTTCTTACACTGACGGAGGTGGAGGTGGAGGAGGTGGGGTTCTTACACTGACGGAGGTGGAGGAGGTGGGGTTCTTACACTGACGGAGGTGGAGGTGGAGGAGGTGGGGTTCTTACACTGACGGAGGTGGGCATGCTGAAGTCCTCTTGCTGCTGCAGCTCCGTGTGGAGGCGTCTTTTGCCCTGGAGATTCTCGTTGTCTCGGTGGAGGCGACTCAGCTCCTCCACCAGCTGCTCCCGGGACTGCACCAGCGCACTCTGAAACACAACACCACCCACGTCAACACCACCCGCAACAACAAACACAACACCAACCACGTCAACACCACCCGCACTCTGAAACACAACACCACCCGCAACACTCTGAACACAACACCACCCACGTCAACACCACCCGCAACAACAAACACAACACCACCAACGTCAACACACACCACAACACCACCCGCACTCGAAACACAACACCACCCACGTCAAACACCACCCGCAACAACAAACACAACACCACCCACGTCAACACCACCCGCAACACAACACACACACACCACCCACGTCAACACCACCCGCAACAACAAACACAACACCACCCACGTCAACACCACCCGCACTCTGAAACACAACACCACCCACGTCAACACCACCCGCACTCTGAAACACAACACCACCCACGTCAACACCACCCGCACTCTGAAACACAACACCACCCACGTCAACACCACCACACTCTGAAACACAACACCACCCACGTCAACACCACCCGCACTCTGAACACAACACCACCCACGTCAACACCACCCACACTCTGAAACACAACACACCCACGTCAACACACCCGCACAAACACACACCACCGTCAACACCACAACACAACACCACCCACGTCAACACCACCCGCACTCTGAAACACACACCACCCACGTCAACACCACCCACGTCAACACCACCCGCGTCAAAAAAAACACAACACCACCCACGTCAACACCACCCGCACTCTGAAACACAACACCACCCACGTCAACACCACCCGCAACAACAAACACAACACCACCCACGTCAACACCACCCGCACTCTGAAACACAACGCCACCACACGTCAACACCCACCGCGTCAACAAACACACCACCCGCGTCAACAAACACAACACCACCCGCGTCAACAAACACAACACCACCCGCGTCAACAAACACAACACCACCCGCGTCACCACACACCCCGCGTCAACAAACACACCACCCACGTCAACAAACACAACACCACCCGCGTCAACACACACAACACCACCCACGTCAACAAACACAACACCACCCGCGTCAACACCACCCGCGAAACAACAAACAACAACACCACCCACGTCAACAAACACAACACCACCCGCGTCAACAAACACAACACCACCCGCGTCAACAAACACAACACCACCCGCGTCAACAAACACACCACCCGCCAACGTCAACAAACAACACCACCCACGTCAACACACACAACACCACCCGCGTCAACTTCTACTGTCAACAAACACAACACCACCCGCGTAAACACACACAACACCACCCGCGTCACGTTCTATCTCCATCAAACACAACTACACAAAAACTACGTCAGGTCGTTTGTTCTGATTTAGTTCTGGAGATATTAAAGATTCTTTTACAGGTCAAATTCCTCCAGGAAACTTCAATATGAAATAAAACGACACAAAATGGAGTCAGTCGTTTGTGTTTCGTTTGTGTTGTATAAAGTTGTGTTTGTGTGATTCTGGTTTTTAAAATATTCAGTTTTATTTTGGGTCGAGGATTTAAATGTGAAACAGCCTCAAAACAACAGAAAATTAAACCAAACGTGTGTGTTGTTTTGTGTGTGACTGTTTTCATTTGTGTGAGTTTATTTCTAAAATTATTCATGATTATTTTTGTGTAAATTATATTTTGGTCATTTTTGTTCAGATGACGGCAGCGACTTTAACAAAACTCCACAAAACTGATGAAGAGAAACGACCTGAGGCTGTGGAAAAGTCTGGATCAGTCTGAAGGAACTTGGTTTGGATTCAGATTTTTATATAATGATCCAGACTTTTCCACAGCCTCAGGTCGTTTCTCTTCATTAGTTTTGTGGAGTTTTGCTTAAGTCGCTGTCGTCAACTGAGAGGAAATGACCAAAATATAATTTACACAAAAATGAAATAATTTTAGAAATAAACTCACACAAATGAAAACAGTCACACACAAAACAACACAAACCAAACACAAATGTCTGGTTTAATTTTCTGCTGTTTTGAGGCTGTTTCACATTTTGAGTCATCGACCCAAAATAAAACTGAATATTTTAAGAACCAGAATCACACAAACGCAACTTTACGACACAAACGAAACACAAAGGACTGACGTAGTTTTTGTGTAGGTTTGTGTATAATGGGGGAGAACTTATGAGGACCTCCTCGAAAACAAGACGGCAAAACATCTCAAGGGGACATCTCAAATTCAAACTTCACGGAGGTCACCACATCTGTGTTAGGACGGAGTTCCCTCGAGTGTGAGCGAAACAAACACAACTCCAGGTGTGTGTGTGTGTGTGTTTGTGTGTGTGTGTTTGTGTTTCTGTATGTGTGTTTGTGTGAAACTACATCAGAACAGAGAACAGTGTGATGTGAGTTCTTTAAATCAGGATGTTTCTTCTCACACTGATCCTCACAGTAAACCGTGACACTGTGCCGTGTTCTATGTGTGTTTGTTGTATGTTTGTTGTGTGTTTGTGTGTGTGTGTTGTGTGTGTTGAGGCCGGACACACTGACCATCTGCTCCTGCGTGCTGCGTTTGGCGTCACTGAAGGCGTCCTGCAGAGCCCCGAGCAGAGACTCCGACTCCTGCACCCTCTGAGTCAACGCCGCCACCTGCAGGACGACACACACAAGTACAGTCAGGACCAGGAGAACACACACACACACAGTACAGTCAGGACCAGGAGAACACACACACACACACAAGTACAGTCAGGACCAGGAGAACACACACACACACACACAGGAGAACACACACACAGACATACACACACACACGGGTCAGGATAGACACATGAGGAGTGTGACATGGGCCTGTGTAGTTCAGATGCCCTTCCTCTTCTGTCCCGCCTGCTGTGAGGAAGAGGAGTCTGGTCCTCATATTTACATGTTTATTAAAGTCTGGTCCTGTCAGATCTCAGACGCTCAGAGTCTGAGTCTGGACCTGGACCGAGACTCTGGGAACATCAGGAATCACAGGAGGCACCAGAGACAAAAACTGTCATTGTGTCTTTAGGCAAGACACTTCACACACATTGCCTTGTGTGAAAGTGGAGTGTGTGTGTGTGTGTGTGTTGGTGGTTCGGATTGGCAGTCTCACTTCCATCAGTCTGTGGAGAGATGAAGAATGTTCTGTAAAAAGTCTCTGTGTGTCTTAAAGCCGCTGTATAAATACAATGATCAGTTCATTAATTAATAATGAACAAAGTGACGTCCCTGCGGTGTCCAGGGCCCCTCACCACGACGCAGGAATCAACCAGAACTTTATGAAAATGTAAAGATGTTGACTTAAAAAAAAAGTGGACCATTGTTCTTGTATCAGAATATTATTATTTTTTTGCTTCAAACCAACTCACCCATAACTCACACAACTCTAACCCTAAAAACACTCTTGTTTAACTTCAGGTTATTTCCATTTTACAAAAATAATTTAAATGTCATCATCCTCAAACAAATAAAAATACTTCAGGATAAAAACAACAGCAAAAACATAAATAATCTAGAACAGAGTTAAATGTCTGAAAGTGGAAGTGGAGCATCAGTTCTGATTTAAATATTCTCAAGTTTCAGAACAGACGGTGACCTGAGGTGAGGAGACGACCTGAGCTGCTCCAGGTCGGTCTGCAGGTGCACGTCAGGAAAACATCAACAAACAACAAACAACAAACAGAACCAACAGCAGATGGCTCCCGCTGTTCTCTGTGGTCAATGTTCCACAGTGTTTCTGAATCAGCTGTGAGGCTAAAGCTCTGCCAGGACCCACACCAGGTCACCACGACAACGCCTCCTCACACCAGGTCACCACGACAACGCCTCCTCACACCAGGTCACCATGACAACGCCTCCTCACACCGGGTCACCACGACAACGCCTCCTCACACCAGGTCACCACGACAACGCATTATTATTATTATTATTGTTATTATTATTCAGATTGGACTTTTTGGAGCTTTCTCCCGTGTTCTAACGCTGTTCCTCATCACAAACCTGCCTGAAGAGGTTTTAGATTCATCCATGCAGGTTTGTGTAATCTAGTGATCTCTCCTGGGACCTATTCAAACCCTCCTTACGCGTCCGCCAGGCTCCCACGCCACAATTCTCCTTAAATATAAAGTGAGTGTGATGTGATGGTGCTCTGAAGGGGGAGTAACCTGGGGGAAATAAGGCGCCTGATTGTTCTGTTATTAACGTTCAGATCTTGTTTAAGGGACAAAGCGTTGAAATAAAAACCCCAGGATCACGTAGCGCGAGTTCAGACCAACGTTTAAACACAATCCATCTGCGGAGTGTTTGAGAGTCCAAAAAAACTCTATAAAAGTTCTGTTTTCAGGTTGAGTTGTTCTCTCCCAAAACAGAATCATTTTGTGTCTTGAATCTGCCGCTCACACTCGCCCAAGACTGAGCGGCGAACGACGGGTTTTGGCGAATCCCGAGGAAACGATAGTAAATGAAACCGCGCGCAGCTCCTTCGGGTTTTAAAATCAGACGACGAGACACGAAAACGTCAAGAATTCAGACAGAAACTTGAAGAAACGTCAAAGAAAATCTGGGTTTCCAAACTTGTTCTCCTCACAGACTCTTGGAGCTTCACAAGAGTTTTTCATGAACTTGTTCTTGTTTCTCTTCTGATGTTCATGTTGGTCCAGATCCTTTAGTTCTTGCAGGTTTTTGTTTTTCCAGTTGTTGAAGTTTTGTCCAGATGTTGTGTTGAAGCTTCAGTCTTGGGCGAGTTTGAGCAGCAGATTCAAGACACAAAAAAACGATTGTGTTCGGGAGAGAACGACTCAACCTGAAAACACAACAAAAATAAAACATCTTCGTCTGTTTCTAAACGTTCCGTGAAAATCTTATCAGCTCAGTTGTTTGTCGTGGCGTCAGGGAGCAGCTGGAACTGGACACGCCCCAAAAAACAGAAGACAAAAGCAGCTCAGAGCGAAGAGGAGCACACGCCCAGAACTGACACGAGACGACAACAGGAGAGAAATACAACTCCAGCTTCTGAGGAGGAACATTAGAACATTAGAACATCAGAACATGACTTAAAGCTCACAGGGGTCAGTTTAGTTTTGATGCTGGACCTTAAAGTTAAAAAAAAAAGGCCACTTAAAATCCACTTTTACTACTTTTACTGTGTGCTTCTCTCTGTCTTTTATTTAATTTTATGTCTTTTTTTTTTTATATTTTATTCATTTTGTGCATTTTAACACTTTGTATTTATTGTTTTTATTTAAGATTTATCAGTGGTGGAGAGTTCGTTTGACACTTGGGCCTTCAGTCGTGTCCGTCTGAAACAATCCACTCCTCAAGAAATATGTTCTGGTTATAAAACAGTCTTATTCTACACAAACACAGTAAAGAGCCGTGGACATTCTGTGTACGGAGACGTGAGGAGCGCTGGACTAAACCAGGACTAAACCAGGACTAAACCAGGACTAAACCAGGACTAAACCAGGACTAAACCAGGACTAAACCAGGACTAAACCAGAACTAACCAGGACTAAACCAGGACTAAACCAGGACTAAACCAACTAAACAGGACTAAACCAGGACTAAACCAGAACTAAACCAGGACTAAACCAGAAACCAGAACTAAACCAGAACTAAACCAGAACTAAACCAGGACTAAACCAGGACTAAACCAGGACTAAACCAGGAACTAAACCAGGACTAAACCAGGACTAAACCAGAACTAAACCAGGACTAAACCAGGACTAAGCCAGAACTAAGCCAGGACTAAACCAGAACTAAACCAGAACTAAGCCAGGACTAAACCAGGACTAAACCAGGACTAAACCAGGACTAAAACCAGGACTAAGCCAGGACTAAACCAGAACTAAACCAGGACTAAACCAGGACTAAGCCAGAAACTAAGCCAGGACTAAACCAGAACTAAAAACCAGAACTAAGCCAGGACTAAACCAGACTAAACCAGAACTAAGCCAGGACTAAACAGAACTAAACCGGAACTAAACCTAGGACTAAACCAAACCAGGACTAAACCAGGACTAAACCAGGACTAAGCCAGGACTAAACCAGAACTAAACCAGACTAAGCCAGGACTAAACCAGAACTAAACCAGAACTAAACCAGAACTAAGCCAGGACTAAACCAGAAACTAAACCAGGACTAAACCAGGACTAAACCCAGAACTAAGCCAGACTAAACCAGAACTAAACCAGAACTAAGCCAGGACTAAACCAGGACTAAGCCAGAACTAAGCCAGGACTAAACCAGAACTAAACCAGAACTAAACCAGGACTAAACCAGAACTAAACCAGAACTAAACCAGGACTAAACCAGGACTAAGCCAGGACTAAACCAGGACTAAACCAGGACTAGGGCCCAAAGCTGCGCCCGTGTAGACTGTCTGGTGACCGTAGATGTAAGGACCATGCCGGGCTCGGGGTTCTCTCTCTCACACTCTCAAGTCCAAGATTAGTCCTGGTTTAGATCCGATTTAGTCCCGATTTAGTCTCAATTTAGTCCCGATTTGGTCCCCGTTTGGTCCCCATTTAGACCCCATTTGGTCCTGATTTGGTCCTGATTTGGTCTCGGTTTAGACCCCGTTCAGACCCAATTTGGTCCCAGTTTAGACCCGGTTTAGTCCCGGCTTAGACCCGGTTTAGACCCGGTTTAGTCCCAGCCTAGACTCGAATTAGTCCCGGTTTAGAACCGGTTTAGACCCGGTTTAGTCCCGGCCTAGACCCGGTTTAGTCCCAGCCTTTAGACCGATTTTAGTCCCGGTTTAGTCCCGGTTTAGACCCGGTTTAGTCCCGGTTTAGACCCGGTTTAGACCCGGTTTAGACCCGGTTTAGACCCGGTTTAGTCCTGGTTTAGACACAGTTTAGTCCTGGTTTAGTCCCGGTTTAGACACGGTTTAGTCCCGGTTTAGACCCGGTTTAGTCCTGGTTTAGTCCCGGTTTAGACCCGGTTTAGTCCCAGCCTAGACTCGATTTAGTCCCGGTTTAGACCCGGTTTAGACCCGGTTTAGTCCCGGTTTAGTCCTGGTTTAGACCCGGTTTAGACCCGGTTTAGACACAGTTTAGTCCTGGTTTAGTCCCGGTTTAGTCCTGGTTTAGACCCGGTTTAGTCCCTGTTTAGTCCTGGTTTAGTCCTGGTTTAGACCTGGTTTAGTCCTGGTTTAGTCCCGGTTTAGTCCTGGTTTAGTCCTGTTTAGTCCTGGTTTAGTCCCGGTTTAGTCCCGGTTTAGTCCTGGTTTAGTCCCGGTTTAGTCCCGGTTTAGTCCCGGTTTAGTCCGGTTTAGTCCCGGTTTAGTCCTGGTTTAGACCCGGTTTAGTCCCGGTTTAGTCCCGGTTTAGTCCCGGTTTAGTCCCGGTTTAGTCCCGGTTTAGTCCTGGTTTAGACCTGGTTTAGACCCGGTTTAGTCCTGGTTTAGTCCTGGTTTAGTCCTGGTTTAGACCCTGTTTAGTCCCTGTTTAGTCCTGGTTTAGTCCTGGTTTAGACCTGGTTTAGTCCTGGTTTAGTCCTGGTTTAGTAGTCCTGGTTTTAGTCCCGGTTTAGTCCCGGTTTAGTCCTGGTTTAGTCCTGGTTTAGTCCCCTGGTTTAGTCCCGGTTTAGTCCTTTGTTTAGACCTGGTTTAGACCTGGTTTAGACCTGGTTTAGTCCTGGTTTAGTCCTGGTTTAGTCCCGGTTTAGACCCCGGTTTAGTCCTGGTTTAGTCAGTCCTGTTTAGTCCTGGTTTAGTCCTGGTTTAGACCTGGTTTAGTCCTGGTTGTCGTTCGTTGTTAAAGTCCCTGGTGACACCAACTCAGAATCTGATTGGTTGAAGCGACAGTTTCATGAACATTTGTTTTGTGTTTTGTGACTCTGACTCCGCCCGGCAACAGACGATGCTGAAATGTGATTGGTCAAAAGCTTTAATATAAATAAACCGTGTGGAAGCAGCACAAACATCGGAAAAACTCTGAAAGGAAACGGACAGAACATCTGGAAACATATTTAATAATATAAAGAACATCAGTCTGATTCAGAGAAGTTTTAGGACAGAAGAGAAGGACTTGACTCCCACCATTGAGATTTCGTGTCTTTTATTGTATTTCTTTGTCTGTGCGGCACTTGGGAAACGTCGTGTTTATAAAATGTGGACGTGTAGATAAAGTGTTCTGGACGTGAGGTCGTGACGAGGTTAAAACGGTGTGTTTCAGACCTTAGCTGTGGTCTCCTCGTTGCCCAGTTTGATGGACTCCTCCAGGTTCTGTTTCTCCGTCATGGTCCTCTCCAGCTGGTCGTTGGCCTGTCGGAGCATCTGCTGCAGCTTCTTCACCTGAGACAGAAGACACAGGTCACAGGTCACAGGTCAGAGGTCGGCACAATATTAAACTTTACTGTGACGATTAAAGCCACAAAAAAAAAAAAAAAAAAGCAATTAAACGATTATTGTTATTCACGAGTACGAACGGTGAACTCCTTCTCTTCGTTTTGAAATCAGAGCTGTTCTCCTCAGATGTTTCTCCAGGTTCTCGTCGTTTCTTCTCTCTGAACCTCTGAAGTTTATTTGGACTGATTCATGTTTGAGGAATCTTTAATCTCTTACTTTCCCCTCGTTTTCAGCTCCAGCGGTTCGAGTCCACAGCGACGGACGCGCTTCCTTCTCTAGTTCGGGTTGAGCGACACGGAGCAAAAAACAGATCTTGATATATTTTGCTGCATCTCGATATACGATATAAATGTGGATATTTATACAGGAACAATAATCCCCCAAAAACTACTGCAAAAACAAAACTGCCAAATTCCACAAGGTCTTAACTTAAAACCAACTATAAGCTCTGAAAAAACAGGCTGCTCCCAGGGCACAGAGGAGGTAAAAACACAAAGCAGCGAAATCAGAATTAAAACATTATATCAAAATGTCAAAAAATCCATTTAGTGTTTAAAAAAATATCTCAATATATTTTAAATATCGAGAAATCACCCACCCTCATCTCCAGTTTCATGTTATTAATCGGTGGTTCACCTGTCCCCACCTCAGACTCACCTGGTCTCGTGTGTCTCTGTGTCTCTGTCTCACCTGGTCTCGTGTGTCTCTGTCTCACCTGGTCTCGTGTGTGTCTCGTGTGTCTCTGTCTCACCTGGTCTCGTCTCTGTCTGTGTCTCTGTCTCACCTGGTCTCGTGTGTCTCAGTCTCACCTGGTCTCGTGTGTCTCAGTCTCACCTGGTCTCGTGTGTCTCTGTGTCTCTGTCTCACCTGGTCTCGTGTGTCTCTGTCTCACCTGGTCTCGTGTGTCTCTGTCTCACCTGGTCTCGTGTGTCTCTGTCTCACCTGGTCTCGTGTGTCTCGTCTCTGTCTCACCTGGTCTCGTGTGTCTCTGTGTCTCTGTCTCACCTGGTCTCGTGTGTCTCTGTCTCACCTGGTCTCGTGTGTCTCTGTCTCACCTGGTCTCGTGTGTCTCAGTCTCACCTGGTCTCGTGTGTCTCTGTCTCACCTGGTCTCGTGTGTCTCGTGTGTCTCTGTCTCACCTGGTCTCGTGTGTCTGTCTCTGTCTCACCTGGTCTCGTGTGTCTCTGTCTCTGTCTCACCTGGTCTCGTGTGTGTCTCTGTCTCACCTGGTCTCGTGTGTCTCAGTCTCACCTGGTGGTCTCGTGTGTCTCTGTCTCACCTGGTCTCGTGTGTCTCGTCTCTGTCTCACCTGGTCTCGTGTGTCTCAGTCTCACCTGGTCTCGTGTGTCTCTGTGTCTCTGTCTCACCTGGTCTCGTGTGTCTCAGTCTCACCTGGTCTCGTGTGTCTCTGTGTCTCTGTCTCACCTGGTCTCTGTGTCTCTCTGTCTCACCTGGTCTCGTGTGTCTCTGTCTCACCTGGTCTCGTGTCTCTGTCTCTGTCTCACCTGGTCTCGTGTGTCTCTGTGTCTCACCTGGTCTCGTGTGTCTCACCTGTCTCGTCTCGTCTCACCTGGTCTCGTGTGTCTCTGTCTCACCTGGTCTCGTGTGTCTCTGTCTCACCTGGTCTCGTGTGTCTCTGTCTCACCTGGTCTCGTGTGTCTCTGTCTCACCTGGTCTCGTGTGTCTCACTCTGTGTCTCGTGTGTCTCTGTCTCTGTCTCACCTGGTCTCGTGTGTGTCTCGTCTGTGTCTCTGTCTCACCTGGTGTCTCGTGTGTCTCTGTGTCTCTGTCTCACCTGGTCTCGTGTGCTCTGTCTCTGTCTCACCTGGTCTCGTGTGTCTCTGTCTCACCTGGTCTCGTCTCGTCTGTGTCTCTGTCTCTGTCACCTGGTCTCGTGTGTCTCTGTCTCGTGTCTCTCTGTCTCACCTGGTCTCGTGTGTCTCTGTCTCACCTGGTCTCGTGTGTCTCAGTCTCACCTGGTCTCGTGTGTCTCTGTCTCACCTGGTCTCGTGTGTCTCTGTCTCACCTGGTCTCGTGTGTCTCTGTCTCACCTGGTCTCGTGTGTCTCTGTCTCACCTGGTCTCGTGTGTCTCTGTCTCACCTGGTCTCGTGTGTCTCAGTCTCACCTGGTCTCGTGTGTCTCAGTCTCACCTGGTCTCGTGTGTCTCTGTCTCACCTGGTCTCGTGTGTCTCTGTCTCACCTGGTCTCGTGTGTCCGCCTCTTGACCCTGAATGGCCTGGAGCTGCTTCTCGTAGTTGGAGCAGAGTTCACACCTGCGTCCCAGTTTTCGCCCGGCGTTCTTCAGCTGCAAACACACGAGAACATTTTACACTCTTCAGATCTTTATGTTCAGCGCTTCAAAAACACAGTGGATCATCACGCGCAGGGAAGTGAGTGACTGCAGTTTGCTCGTCTCTGTTTGGATGATCCTGGACTATAATCCCGTTTCTAACCGGAACCAAACTCTAACCAAACCCTGTTGAACTTTATCTCTGTGAAGGACCAATCCCAGCCGCCCGTCCCCCCTGACTCCGCCCCCTCGCTCACCTCCTGCTGCAGAAGGTTCCACTCGCTGTCGCTGACCAGCCTGTACCCGGCGGGGGGCAGGTAGGCCGTGTCCGGGGCCTGGGAGATACTGGAGAGCAGCGAGGCCGTCTCCTCCTGCTCCGGCGTCATGGCTTTGATGGCCTTCTCCTGGTCTTTGGTCAGGAGGAAGTGGCTGGCGGTCAGTTTGATGGAGCTGAGGGAGGAGGCGTCGCCGAAGCCGCCGTCCGCCACGCCGTCCGCGCCCACCAGGGGGCCGAAGTCCGACTCGTCCAGGTGGCCGGCGGACTTGGCTTTGTGGTTGTGTCCGCCCAGACCCTGCTGCTGCTGCTGCTGCGGCGGCGACGCGGACGAGCCCAGACTGTCCGTGGACTGGACCCTCCTCAGACTGTCCTTGTACGGGTCCACGGGCGTCCCCACGTCTGTGTCCAGCGAGTGCAGGGACCCGTGGGCACTGAGGTTCACCTGAGACTGACACGACACGACACAACGGTGAAAAAATGCACAGCACAATCGGTGGCCGACGTCCAAAAGCTTTTTTATTAACAAAATAACGTTTGGGCAAAAAAAGCCTTCATCAGATATTTTTCTTGTTTTTCACCCTTGTCTGGCTGCTCCTTGCATTTGTACCTTTACGAGAATTTTGGTGTGTTTCTTTTGATACAACACAAAAACACACAACACAACACAAAAACACACAACACAAAAACACACAACACAAAAACACACAACACAAAAACACACAACACAAAAACACACAACACAGGGTTCAAACGACACATACTGTGTTATTCTGAATCCGTGTGTTATTCGTTCATTCGTTTTTCAATATAAAACCAAAAATAAGAAAATTAAATATATGCAGTGGCTTCAAAAATCACACACAAAGACACAAAAATCGCAGGAGAATTTGCCAAAAATCTAGCAAATTTTCCTGTAGTGTGCGGCGACCTTTACTGTTACTTTAATGGTGATTATTTCTGCTTTGATTTGTTTGTTTTGTGATTACAGTGACTTTCTTATTCTGTATTCTGTGTACAAATTGTGTTATACAAATAAAAACACACACAGACATTAGAGCAGAGTCACACACACAGAGTCACACACACAGAGTCACACACACAGAGTCACACACACACAGACACACACAGACAGAGGACGTCCCCGTGACTCACCTCCTCCACGCTCAGAAACAGCTCCTCCGTGGGCTCCGTCATGTCCGCCGTGTCGTCCTCGTGCTGCTCCTTCACCAGACTCAGCCTCTGCTTCTCGTCCTCCTCCTGAAAACACAGACGCTCACTTCATCCACTCGTACGGCTCATTTGATTACAAACTGCTCCGGCTCCGTCCACGTCCCTGTTAAACCAGCGTTTCCTTCTACAGGAGTCGGGAACCTTTTTTACTCTAAGAGCCATGAAAGCAAAATATTTGGAAATGTATTTCAGTGAGAGCCA